TGGGGCTGGTGGCAGCTTTTAAGGCCCGACACTTAGGCATGTGGAGATAAACAAGGCATTCTTTCTTGGTTGCCAGGAAGGATTGAGCATTGGATTTTGTGTGAGCTTACATCTTGTCTTGATTCTTATCATGTTTAGGCTATTTTATAACAGCAGAATATTATACCTGTTTTCTAACACTCTTGTATCAAGTGTCTCATTTGCTTCTGTTTCTTGGACAGAAGGTTTTTAGAGGTGTATTCAAATAGTTTTTTCTTTGTGTGACATCTTTGTGGACTTACTTGCTCTTAAGCTCCTGATTTCTGTCAGGCATTTCATATGTTTTTGTAGCTCTTGTGCTCTAAACAAAATAATTTCTAACTGTTTGTTCCCTTGAGCATGCTGTGTGCTATGTATTGGCTCAATGTGAAACTTAAAAAAGATTTTATCATGTGTTATGTGGAGAAAATTCAGCCTCAAATGGATTTTCTATTGCAAGGTACTGTAAAATATGAATGTACTTAGCACTTCTTGGTGGGAAAGTTAAATATTCAGTAGGAAACATGGAAGGAAAAGGGAAAAATGAGGTTTTTAAAAGAAAAGCTAAGGAAAATTGGATAAAACAACTGTGTTATTGTCGCAGCTTACAGGCTAGAACTTAGACAAACAGTGGAAGCAGGGACAGGTATCCTGGGAAGAGTGTAGGAATGCTGCCTTGTTGTGTAAGGTGGGGGTCAGGAAGGCCAAAGCATGGCTGGAGCTGGACTTGGCAAGAAATGCAAAGAAGGGTTTCTACAGGTATGTCACTCAGAAAAGAAAGGTCAAAGAAAGCAAACCCCCCCCCCTTATGAACAAGACTGGCAAACCGGTCTTGCCAGATGAGGAGGAGGCTGAGGTACTGTTGCCTAGGCTTGTGTTGTGTCCACTTGGGAAACCTGAACATACATAAGTCTATGGGACCTGACGAGGTATATTCTAGTCCTGAGGGAATTGGCTGATGTCATTGCCAAACCACTCTCCAATGATATTTAAAAAGTCATGGCAGACCCTGGTGATGGGAAAAAGGGAAACATTGCACCAATTTTTAAAAAGAATAGAAAGGAGGACCCTGGGAACTACCAATCTGTCAGCCTCACCTCTGTGCCTGGGCAGATCATGGAACAGACCCTCCTAGAAGCTCTGTGAAGGCACATGCGGGACAGTGAGGTGATTTGGGACAGCTAGCATGGGTGCACCCAGGGCAAGTCCTTCCTGACCAATCTTATGGCTTTCTGCAATGGAGTGATTACATCAGTAGACAACAGAAGGCTACAGATGTCGTGTATTTGAACTTCTCTAAAGCCTTTGACATGGTGCCCCACAAAATCCTTCTCTAAATTGGAGAGAGGTGGACTCCTGGTTGAATGATCACACCCAGAAAGTAGTGGTCAATGGGTCAATGTCCAGATAGAGATCAGTGATGAGTGGTGTCCCTCAGGTCTGCACTGAGACTGGTGCTATTCAATGTCTTCATCAGTGATATATTCCATGGAAGCAAGTGCACCCTCAACAGATTCACAGATGACACCGAGCTGAGTGGTGTGACATACAAGGGTCAGACTGTTCTTTTGAGGTTTGCTACTACACCTGATAAGAATTCTTGCATAACCTCTTTCAATTTTATTGTGTGCTTTTTGTCACTGGCAAAATGCTAGTTGAGCTCACTGTAGTGAAAAGTTAGAACCAGAATTTTGTGTGGTTTTTTTTGGAATAGTCTGAGATACTGGAAGGATCACTGAGGACTGTGATTTAGGGCATCAGTCAGTGTGAAGAAGTAGAATTATCACATACCCAGGGCTAATGGTTTGTGATTAGAATTTACTTAATTCTAGATTCTTAATTCTCAAGTGTGCAATCATATGTCTGTCTAACAGTTTCTGTCCTGAAAGCAATCACTGTACCACTTAACAAAAGCAAAACCAGAAACAAAAGCCTTGAGAAAGTTCAGACCAATCCTGGATGATATGACAACAGAGCAGAGGAGGTTATCAAATACAATAGGAGGTTATTAAATACAGTCCAAAGGTAAAGTTCTATGTCAAATAAGGAAAGTAGAGCAGAATATAAACCCTGTCAGGCCAAATGCATGGAAGCATTTCTAAAAGAGAATTTGAGAAACAACATATAAAACTAAGCTTTAAATGCTTTTTCTCCAATATTTTGGGAGAAGGAACATTGCCAAAGATTCTGTAGGCCCAGCAGACAATCTAGGTATTAAAAGAGCACCCAGAGAGGATAAGGCAATGGCAGAGGAATATAAATATTTGTGTTCAGTGTAGAAGAATATAGGGACGTATTCACTCCCAAATCCTGCGTTATGGATAATTAGAGGATCTGTTTCAAGTAAGTGCTGTGTTGTAATAGAAAGATGTTTTGTCGTTGGTTTTTACTTTCATGTCCAGTGCTGAGATTTCCTTCCAGACAAGGGTCCTTTGAAACCCAGTCCCGTAGGATATGTGTGTTATTGTTTGAAATTACGTGACAGCCCAAGCTATACCTAACTAAAGGAAATGTATGTTCGTTGCAGAATAGCATCAGAAGGGTAAATTCATTTCTCTTGAAACTTGCAGAAATACAACATTATTTCTCCATTCTCTTTAAATTTCAAAGAATGAATCCTTAGCTCAGCAAGTCCTATAAGCAGTTGTTTATATTTAGCGTAAATGCAAAGCAGAGGTTTCATTTGCAATGGTGCCATAATTTAAATTGTCATTGTCAAAACTGTCTTTGCTTGGTTATGAACATAGAAGGAAATCTCAGCAGCACTACAGGATAGAAAGCTTTACTGGAATAAGCTGTATTCCAATTTGTCTGTGTAGTTCTTGTCTTTGGCCTTAAATGAGTTACTTAGGAGTAACTAGAATTTTTGTACTAGATGATTTGTTACTGATTTTATCACATGCTCCACATTTCTGATTGTGACAGTAGATTTGCATGTTTTCTTGTTTCATGCTTTTTTTTTTCCCTTCTCTTTATGTGGCCTGCTTTTAAAGCTTGGTACCCATGTTTGTGCATAGATTGCTATTTCGTTAAGGGAGGAGAAAAAAAACTCAGAAAGGTGAAAGATTAGAGTGAGTTTGGTGGGGTGTAGAGTTGAGAATGAACAATTGATGTTAATAGAAAATAATAAAAGTAGTTTTTGATTTGCGACTTATTTTCTGTTTTCTGCATATACTAATTACATTGTTTGTAAATGGTATGGTTGCGTGTTAACAGTAGCCAAAACTTGAAACTTTACCCAAATGATTGTGTAAGAAAGTACTAAACTAATGCACAAGATCGGTTTCCTTTCAGCCAGACTACCAGTGACATAAATAGATCAGATCCAGTAAAGCATACTTGTTCATAAATACTGCACAAGGAGGAGTGGAGCAGGATGATGCACAGTTGGAGATCACTTGCTCTTGAAGACCTGGGGCCTTCATTGTTACTAAACCAACTGGAGCTAACTATCATGTTCTGGGGTGGAGTAGAAATACATAAATAATTTGTAGATGTGTTTAGTTACAGCAGACATTCTCTCTTTTTGTTGTTTTTGTTCATAAACTATACAAAATACCATTTTTCTACTTTTGTTTATGTTATATGTTTACTTTGCCTTTACTTCTTTTGATCCATTCCTACCTTTTTGGCTCTTAGAAGAATATAACCAGTGATACTGTTTCTTATGATTTAGTGCTTGGTATCTTGGGGATTTGCTTGACATCAAATCATGGCTGGAATTGAAGCTTGTTGCAGATATGGTGGGACTGCAAACAAATACCGAAGCTGCTCGGAGGCCGAGCAAACTCCCTGGGGTGTGCAGAACTACTGGAGATGATGTGAGAAATTGCTGTACATAACAAACAGTGTGAGAAGCTGTCAGAAGTTGTAGGTAGCACCTTATGGGATTCCACGAGTAGTAAAGGGGGAATTGTGTGAGAAATGCCTGAACAGTGCCATTGCGTGGAGAGTGGCCACAGGGGCCACTTTGGAAAGTGCAGTGTTACCAGACTAATGGTGCGAAGGTAATAATTTCAGAAATAGCAAAGTTGGGTATAGCTGTAGCAAAGCTGGGACCATCAAGGCAAGAAGTAATTGGAGTGGTTTGTTAAATTGGGACAGAGAAAAGGAAGTAGAAGCGTAGTGGAAATCGAAGATCAAATAATGGGAAAAAAGGTAAAATTATGTGACCAGCTGCTGTCGGGGGGTCCCTGTTGGGCAGCTTGTGCTTGATCATCACAGCTGGAGTCTTTTTCCTGTTGAATCCTTGTATTTGCAGTGACAACATACTCATGATGAAGTATATTTGTTGTGCCAGCCTGTGACTTACTGTTCAGTTTGTCTCTTAATCTGTGTTTATAGTCTGCACAAGTTCTTTGAGACTTTGGTTCACAATGAACTCTAGTAGTCATATTTTTTTAATATTACTGATCCTTTGGTCATCCTGTATTCTTCCAGTGTCTGTCAACTCCTTGAGATGAAGAATAAGTGAGAAATTTATTGTGATACCACCACGTTTCTTGGGGTTATGTGTATGAGCATGCTTTCATGCTTCCTTCATCCATGCATAGTGTACAGAAGTATTGTGAACCTTTTAATATTTTTGAAAGCATACGCTGCTGCTCCTTGCATTTTATGTATGCTCTAATGGATTACAACTGCTTTACCTGTGTATACCCTTCATATGCATCTCAAAAAACAGTAGGAGAATAATACATTTATATTGTAAGTAGCCGAGTGAGACAATGTAAGGCATGTACACTAAGAAATACTCCACTAAGTTACCTTATCACACTCGGGACCTATTGTCAGAGGTATCCCTATGGATAGCAGTTTTCCAGTATTTTATTATCATTAGGATTGCCCTATATTTCTGATTTCACTGGATTTTCTAAGAAGACATGATCATTGTTGTAAACACCTTTACGCTAATTTGAATATATCTGTGTATATTAATGGATAGATTCCTTGGTTCTCATGAAACATTTCTCTTTTAATAGATGAATTGCGAAAATTGAGTTGGTCTGGCATTCCCAAGCAGGTTCGTCCAATTGCATGGAAGCTTCTTTCAGTAAGTTGTATTTCTTTTTAATTCTTCCTTTGCATTTAGTAGTAATAGCTTTTTCAAGCGTTGCAAATAATTTTGCTTGAGTTATAATTCATTAGTGATAGTTGAAAACATTGTGTCCTGTTGCTGAATTGTAATGGAAGTTATGTTCTTTTGCTCAGTTTCAAGCTTATCCTATCAAATTGAAAGGAGAGGAATGAGAAGTAGTAGTAAATCATATCAGCTATATATCTTTATTTTTCAGCCTGGCTTTCTATGAAAGAAAGGCTTGTGTGATAACAGAGGCCTCTTTCAACCAGTTCTGATGGAGTGGTGGAGAGTTCAAAGACAAGAACATGCTTACAGTTTTCTTGAGAATAGACATGCAGTAGAGGAAACGAAGCCTATCAGTGTCCTACGAAAGGCTTCATTCAGGCTTCACATTAAAGTAACTGCAAGAAAGGATTAACAATGTACTGAGGAAAAGCTCTGATAGGATCTGTAGGTTTTTTGGCTGATTTTTCTATAGTGGTTTAGGATGAACAAGTCGGAACTGCTGTGGTCAATTAAGTTGTGCCATTGGCTCTCTTGATGTCAGACCTGTGAGTCAGTTCAGAGAGACAACCTAATTAAAAAGCTGATCACTTTTTTGTAATGTGAGTCTTTAACTAGCTGAGCTCTCTGAACTTTGCCCAACGACCAGAGGATTTTGCAATGGCAGTAGCTTGAGAGTAGGTTGACTGAAATACTGTGGAGCAGCACACAGAGGTGCTTTGGTTGGGCATTGGAGAGAAGCTTGTGGGAATCTGTGATTAACTGGGTTTGGTGTTACAGAACAGAATTTTTTTAATCTCAGTGTTTGCTTTCTAATTAAAATGGTTCTCCTGCAAAAATAGTGTTTTCCTCATAGAAGTAGTTTTCATGTCTACCTTATAAGCTATAGTACTTTTGATGGCAAACAGTTGTGCATTGTAGCTGTTGTTTGTCTGCCTGTGGTTGGGAGAAGGCTTGTGAAGATGTTTGTATTAAAAAGAAACAGAACTCTTGTTCTGTATACTCTCCAGAGGTTATGAAAGACACTTTCTCAGCAAATCTTCATGCATTTAAGAACTGTTTAAAATTCTGAATTATACACACACCAGTTTAACACTATTGAATTTTTCAGAGAGTAGACTTAAACTGCTTTGCTTTTTATAGAATAATTCCGTAGGGAATGCAAAGTATTTACTTCAGATTGACACTGATTTCCAGTGACTGAAAGAGTCTCTCTTGCTGATGAGTTCTACTAAATTTGCAGCTTAGTTCCTTCTAGCGCTAAATACAGATGCAGCTTAATGGTGGATATTCAAATATCCTGCTGTAATTGAAATTAAACATGGAGCTTACAGTGTATTTTAGTTCTGTTTCCAAAGTTGTCTGAGATTTTGCTAATGAAAAGGGCATTTTTTTTCTCTTGAAGTTTGGGATGCCTGTTTTAAAATACTCAAATTAAAAAAAATATGGCTAACTCAAACTTGACTTTGAAACACAGTAAGCTAAAACATAAGAATAGTTTAAGTTCTGAATCAGAAGACTGACACTGAGGTTTAGAGAGTAAGAATTATGCAAATTTTAAAAATATAACTTTTACATAAAGTAAACTAGCTCTTCTTGCTCTCTAGTAAGAATATGGGCTTTCCATGAGCTTCAATTTAATTCCATAAGTTGATTTTATTTTAGTATTCCTCAGATTCCTGGTCTAGAGGAGTTCTTAAGTGTAGAGTTTGTTGTTCTGTTGCTTTAACCACTCCAGTTTAGGATCTGTTTCAGTTCAATTCTTAACTTGATCTATCTCGTCATACCTCTGCAAAAAAACTGTTTTCAGGTTACTTTTTCTGTACTTTAAGAATTAAGTGGATTTTTTCTTTTTAATAAGAGACTTACAAGACTTTAGTTTGTTTCTACCTCCAAATGGCAATACTGTGAAAGTTCTCAGCTTTTCTAAGAAAGTCTTACCATGATTTCTTATCTGTTAATTGGTCCTCATGTGATATATTTTGGAAACCCAAAGATGAGTCATTTAGTAATCATTACTTTTCTATACTGTAAGGCAGCATCTTTTTCATCTTCTTTCCCAAGTGGGGAAGAAAAAGTGCTTTCAGTTTTTGTGGTCATAAGCTTCACCATGCTTTTTTCTAATGGCAACCTAATACTGAGCTATTATTAATGTGTGTCCCAGGTAAGGAGTAGTGTGATAGTCCCTGGAAGTGTTTAAGGCCTGGTTGGATGGAACTATGAGCAACCTTGTTTAGTGAAGGTGTCCCTGCTTGTGGCAGGGGGAGTTGGAACTAGATGATCTTTAAGGTCCCTTCCAGCCCAAGCCTTTCTGTGATTCTATACAGTGCACTGGGAGCTCCTGGGGAAATAAGTGTTCTTGAAAATCAAAAGTGACATTTTGATTAAAGATCAGTTGCAATGCTAAAAAAAGGACAGAAAACTGAAGGAACCAAAGTATAGTTTAGAGCTAAGTTAAGGCTGGATATGTTTGTGTTGGAATTATTCAAAAGTCTTATTTAAAAAGCCCAAACAGACTTTTTCAGGGAATTGGTAGTATCTGAGGCAGATGGTATTTATCTTGTTTGTAAAATCAGCATGGAAATTGGAATTTTAAAAATGATTTAATAAATTGATTAGTTGAGATATTTATTACATAGACAGCAGGTTAATAATGTTAACATGTCTGATGAATACATTTTTTTAAAGGAAAGCATATGAAAATCAATATAATAGGATCTGTTAATGTTATGCATATCTACTGGTAGCAGTATATATAAAAATTGCATGATTTATTTTTAAAATACAGCAAAAATGTTAGGTACACTGTACCTAACAGCAAGCAGAACTATCCAGGCTCATTTCTCTTTTGAATAACAAAACTAAAGATATGTTTGCAAAAGCCTTTGGAGGAAATTAATGAATAAATGGATTAAACTCTCCACGAGTTTATTCACTGATGATATGTTGTAAACCTTTCCAACTGTTAAAAATAAAACCTAATTTGTAAACTGAACAGCAAACACAACATGTCGAATTGAAAGGTTAGTTCAGTCTTTGAAACTGAATAATGGCAAAAAGACTGAGTGAGAAAGTATCAGGGTCCTTCAAATGATCACATCTGCTCTCACAAATGAATTCGTTTCTAATGCAACCAACTAAGATATCCTACAGGGAAAAAACCCCGCAACTGTTGAGAATAAACAGGTGTCAGAATTCAATATCTAACTTAATACAAAAGATTGGGACAGGATATTAAGTGCCAGATAGAGTCTTGAGGCAAAAGTGAAGCTGGTGTGGTTTAAAGTACCTGGAACCAGACACAAGCCAGTATATCTTAAAAGATATGGTTTTGCAAAAGCAATTACCTCTTAAGTTATCTGGAATGTAATATGGTTTGCACTTACTCTGTTGTTATTATTAGCTCAGAAAGTAAAGTATACAGGAATAACATTTTAAATGCCTTTAAAATAACATCATAGAATTTTTGAGGTTGGAAAGGACCTTTAAGGTCATTGAATCCAATCATGAACCCAGCACTGCCAAGTCCAATGTTAAACCATGTCCCTAAGGGCCACATCTGCATGTCTTTAAATACCTCCAGGGGTGGTGACTCAACCACTTCCCTGGGCAGCCTTTTCCAGTTCAGGACCTGCCCTTCCTAAATCCATACTGACTGGGACTCATCCACTGGTTGTCCTGTACATGCTGTGTGATGACAATCAACATGATCTGCTCTTTTATTAGTTACCTGTGATGGCTGTGGCTCATTGTATGAGTGCAAATATTGCTGCACTTCTAATATAGGATTTTTTTGATGTTATGAAGGTTATTTTTGTTAATGAAACTTAAACCTAAGTTTGATTTCTGTATTTTACTAATTATTATTAGTATAGTGAAAGCTATTATTGTGGAAGGGGAACTTATGGATTGTTGGCAAGAAATATTTTGACTTGACTAGTAAATAATTAGATTTTTCTTATATTATCTTGGATATCCAGATCTCTTTCCAAGCCATCCATCTTTAAAATGAATCTTATACAAAGTATTCATTTAGGATAGCCATGTAGGTTAAATATGAATTGGCTTTCTTTTTTGCAGTGTTGCGGGATGTTGATGTTGACCATTTGAAAGGAAGTTGCTTACAAGAAAGCATTAACTATTTGTGAATATTCAGGAAACTTTTTGGTAGCCATTTACCTGAATAATGGTGTTTCTAATAAGTGTACTTTATATATAAGCTGAACATTCAATAACATTTACATTTTGTAAAATGGTGAAATAGAATAGTATCCTAAGCTTGTTTTTTAAATCAAAAGTAGACTGAGATACTACAGATGATGATCAAACTGGACTAAAGAAGAAAATAAGAATGAATTTTTAAATTTTTTTTTGGGAGGGGAAGATTGGGATTTTCAAATATATGTGAATGACTTCAGTGAAGAACCATTCATATCTATTCTATACTTAATGCAACAATGTATGATCTTGCAGATCTATTAACATCCTTTGTATGCCCATACCATGTGCAAAATAAGATAATATTTATAAATCGCTTTTGGGAAACAATTAAGGAAAGGTGCATCAAGTGTTATTACAACTGAGAGCCCAGTAACTGTTGATTCTTTTTCTGTGATGAAACTTTTAGTAACCTGCTGAGATGAAATGAAAGCTTAAAATTGTTTTTTTTTCTCACTGGAAACAGTGAGATAATGTAGCTAGAATGTTTTTAAAGCTTTTGAATTAATACTTCATTGTGTTACAAGTTTAACCATGTTTTAAACGTATTTGCTAATGTATATAATTCCTATTTGAAGGCAACTGAGCTAATATGCATTTTGTTTAAAAATTTAATAAAATTGCTCCAGTACTGGCTACATAGAAATTAAAGAACTTATATGGCATTATATTTACCTGAACTTATTTATTTGAGCTTTTCTCTCTGGAAGTCAACATCATTTTAGTATTCTTGATGAGAAATTGCTTTTTCTAAAAAAGAAAAAAAAAAAAAGAGGCAGTGATTCTATATGATATTTGTATCTGAACTTTTGTACCAGTTGGATTGATAGGAAAAATGGTTTATTGAAGGATTATTCAGATCCGTGTAGGACTACATGGCACTACGTCAGTTAATTATGTCACATGTGATCAAATGCCAGCAGTGCTTTTTGTATGCAAGGCAAAGAGTAATATCCTCCTTATGTCACTGTTTTTTTTCAGGGCTATCTTCCTGCAAATGTGGACCGAAGAGAAAGCACTTTACAAAGAAAACGCAAAGAGTATTTTGCATTTGTTGAACAATACTATGATTCCAGAAATGATGAAAATCACCAAGATACCTACAGACAGGTAGAACACCCACTGAAGTGACTTTTACCTGCAGAACACTCCTAAAGAACCTAAAGAGATTGTTTTTCACGTTTGCTACTGCTTTTCGCTCTTTCTCTAATCTTGCTGAATAGACAACTCTTTAATAATTTTTCTAAATCTCAGAAGCAAAAATATGGGGTAGTGTGTTCTGAAATTTGAAATAGTGGATTTCTCTTTATGTCAGCTTTAGTGATGCCGTGTTTTTTTGTTTAAGATTAGTAGTGTTTTCAAATCTTTAGTCTCCCGCTCAGACCTTCCTTCAAATGAGTGAGGATAGACAGAGAAAGTACAGCAGTGACTGTTTTTTACTGGCTCCGTAGTTTTGCTTAGGAAGTTAAAACTGTGTATGATGTGCAATAAACATATGGGTGTCAAACTGTTATGCCCACCGAGATAAACAGATAAGTTATCTTCAAGTTTAGTATTGAAATGAATAATTTGTAACATTAAGTATAGACCAAACAATATTACTTTAACCTTCCTAAAGAGGAGGCTGAGATCTTTCTTTCAGCTTCAAGCCTGACCTTTAGTAGCAAGAAATATATAGCATCACTAACATAAGGTACTTGTGTATGGAGCCCAAAATCATCACTTTAGGATTGTTGCATAAAACTCCTTTGTGAAGTTTGGAATAAAAATTTAGAAATCCTAGTATTTTTGTGCTCTCTTCTTGATTGTCAAATATATTAAAATAGGTGTTAAACTCTGTTTTTACCTTTGAATGCTTGGACTTGATGATCTTACAGGTCTTTCAAACCTAGAAAATTCTATGATTCTATGACAGTGGCAGTTGAACATGAGGTTATAGAAGTAGTAGTATGTGCTTACTTGTAATTACCATGAAGTAATTACCATTGTCAATATGACCCTAATTTGCAAAAAATTGTGATGTAAGGATCCTAAAATGTGAATACAAATGTATATGTTTTTTTCTTTCACCTCTTTGATAGATTAACAATGACTTAAAGCTTTGGATGTATGTTTTGAAATACAGTAAAAATTCCAAAAATAATGATACAACAGGATTATAACTAATACTGTTAAATAATAGAATTACTTTAAGTATTGTGTTGTTCAGAAAGTGTGCTGTTGGTTCCTTTTACAGTATTCCTCTTTGTCTAATTAGATCCATATAGATATCCCACGCATGAGTCCTGAAGTTTTAAGACTTCAGCCCAAAGTAACAGAGGTAAGAATGATATCTAAAGACTTTTTTTTGGTTAGAGAAAACATTTTATTAATGAATCTGATATCACAGTTTGATTAATAATTAATTTGACGGTACTTGCTATTTTGACTTCAGAACTACCTGAAACGAATAAATGAGGATATATAAGTATAGGCTAAGAATGGCAGTGTAAATATGAGTAGTAAAAGCAAAGGCATCTCATTAATTTCCTGTATCGAATCTGTCAGTTTTTTCTTTGGTCTTGTGCCTTTGGGTTTTTTTTTCCTTTTTATGTATTTTGTTAATACTGTGTTTTTGAAGTAATGCAGAGCATAGTCCCGTGGTTCTGTGCATTTGTCAAAATTATTCAAGGCCTGGAAGTTCTCATTATAGAGTCTTCCATTTGGGAAATTCTCTTTTTTGAATTTGTAGCATGAGTGCATTACCTGATTTTACTCCCTTCTAAGTTTTGTATGCTGAGCACACTAATTAAATTGTTTTCCTACTGTTTTAATTATATGATTAATGTAAATATATAATAATATGATTAAATACATGATTAATGATATGTTAGTGAAATTGGCCTATATTGTAGGGTAATTGAATCTCATGGGGACTTTTCATTTTAAAGTATATGGGTCATAAATGGTATAGATGATGTGGATCATCCTCTTTCAATCATTTCTTCTAATTCTTCAATTTATTCTCCTTTCTAATGTTTCTAGTTAGACCTTCAAATGTACTTCCATGTAGCTTCTGTTTGTACCATTATAGAGCCCAATAAAACATCTTCTGATAGGTCATTCTGAGAAGGTAAATGCAGAACTACCTTTCATTTGTTTTTCCATTGTTGCAATTAGTTGTATAATGGAAATGCTCTCCCACACATGTTGAAGAAATTGGTTTGAAGAAATAGCCTAGTGCAGTGTTTTGAGAGAAAATAGTATAAATATAGTGCTTTCCTACATGCTGGTGTTTTACCTGAGCTTTTCTAGGAGTGAATCAAGGAGTGATGTAAGTAAAATCAAGGGATGAGAAGGAAACAATACCAGTAAGGTGAACTTAAAGAAATAAATAAGATCAGTGTCAGTGTTTAGCTAGAAATGAGCCAATAAGTGAAATTGAAGGTGAATATTATTTCATTATAAGATGGTCACTGGCAGAAGAATGCTCCAGGTAAACATCTTCATAGAATGTGCTTAATATCCTTTCTTTTAACCAAAATATTTGGGTGAGAAGTACCTTAATAAAAATGATACCAAGATATCAAATTCTCATTAGAGAATAGTTTGAGATAAAGTGTTATTTAGTAAAATGTTGAGACTGTCAGATAGAAAGCTGTAGGATCTTGACTGGTTTTGTGTTTTGCTCCTTTGGTTATGCATGAGACAAGATACATGACTGCTCTTAAGAGATGGTTAATGTGTTTCTTTAGACTATTTCTAGTTATTTGTTGAACTTATCCAAAGGAATATTTTTCTAATGCTTCATTGGATATGTGCATCTTAAACACTGCCTTAAAATAAATGTATTTTAAATCCACACTTTCTAGAAATTGTGATTATACTTGCAAGTGGCATTGAGTTCTCTTCCAACGCTAATAGTGTATGTATACAGCTCCTTAAATTAGTTTGTTGAATACAGCTCGATATCCCTACTTGCAGGTTGTACTTACCCTTCTCAGTTTGAAGGTTTAGTAAATTGAGCCACATGACAACCGTAATTGATCCCTATAAAGTAGATTAAGGCATTATACAACTGGAGTGCTGCTGCTTTCATGTTTAAAAAGAATGTTTAAAGAAACCACATCACAATCACTCTCCCTCCAATCCCTGTCCATACCCTATCCCATCCATCTTCCCTGCTCCAACACCTTTCTTCTTCCCTTGCAAGTAGTAAGGAAATGGATGCAAAAATGATAGAAGGCTTGGAGGAGTGAGATTGGACAGTTGATTAATAAAAAAGAAAGTGTAAACCAAAAGTCTATTTTAATAAGATTCTTTTAGCTGGGAGTGAGTGGTCTTGAGGTACAGAAAAATGTGAAAAGGGTGGATGGCAGTAGGATAAGGGGAAATCTAGGAAGTATTTGAGTTATAAAAAAGTGATAGAGATCTGATTTAATTTTTACAGATCTGTTAGTGTCCTGAATGTTACAGAGTTGCAGGTTCTTCATTTTAGAGCTCCACTGATCTGACTGAATGTGTGGGCTACTGTGAGGATGGGCTTGCATATGTCTTTGCTCTCTCTTTGATCCAAACCAAGCCCAACTTGCTTGGTGCCATTATACAGAAGATGCTGAAAGGGTCATAGCATCCATCTTCTCCATTGTTTCTTTCCCTTGCTTTCTGGGTTTCTGGACACCTGCCACAGCACTGCTGAATCCCTTAGCCTCGCAGGGGATCCCACCCTATTCCCAGGGGTTTATCTAGATAGGGACCTTCTATTGTTCCCAGAACTGACTCCCTTCTAGGGAGAAGATGGTGCTAGTCTCAGGTGGGCAACAGTCATTTCCCCTTTTTTAAGGTGAGATGGCAAGGGCTATAAAGAAGAGAAGGAAATCAAATTATGGGTCAAAGACAGATTTTGAAGTGTTACCCTGTGTGCAAAACTCACAAGGAATTCAAAACCTGCATTTAAGCTGATGGCTTCTTCTCTTTATGTATGTGAATATAATTCTTGCTATAATTATGAATGAGTGTTAAATTCAAAAGAGAATAATAGACTGGTAATGACATTTCATGAGATGTAGTGGTTCATAAAAGAAAAATAATTCCAGTTTCTGTTGCTGATTTGGAAATCAAGAAGGGAACCTTTTGGGAAAGTGACCTTTTTAATGAATCCTATTTGAGCACAGTGATGAGTGCTGTATAGAAACTTAAATCAGTCTGCTGTTCAAGTTTTCAGTGCTCATTTTTTTCAATTCAGAACAGTAAATGAAACCTTATGAAAATGGGTAGGAAATTTCAGTGTGTATTTGTTGGATTTCTGATTAGGTGCATTTAGGGATATTAAAGCTGATGTGCCATCAGTGATGCTTCCTGGTCAATAATATTACCCCCCCCCCAAGCAAACTCAAATAGGCCCCCACTTTCCTTAGTTTCCATACCTGGATTTTAAAAATGTTTTAAAATCCATAGGCCTCTCAATCTGCAGTGTAAACTGCATATATTGTCAGATTCTAAGGAAACAAAAGGTTGGTGGTACAAATTTGTGGGTTGTTTGACTTTAGAAATGCCTTCATGAAAAAACACAATTTTTATAATTTTTACGATGGGTATTTTGATAGTTCTTACTGAATTACTGTGGGAGTTTGTTTGTGTGTGGTTTTTTTTTTTTTACTGTGCATATTTTGTAACCCCATCACACCAGGAGTTTTTTATTTAGCCTAGTGCATAACACTGCATTCAGTAATTGCTATTTAAATAGGTTTCTCTAGTCACCTGTGTCTGTTGTTTGTTTTTCAAGAAAGTTATTTGTATTTGCAGTATGTTAAACATGTCCTTTTTCTGAAGTGAAACAGACTGATAACTGATAATACTGAGGACTGCTGTTACTGAAACTAGAAATGGCAACTGCCAGAAGCAGTTGGGGTGGCTGTGAGCTAACTAAGCTAGCTAGATGTGCAGTTTTCCAGTAGCAGTAAAAATAGGATATAACTGCAATTTCATAAGGGTCTAATTAGGTAAAATGTAAAAGTAAGGTGTAAATCGCAGAGTGTAAAATCTTTATACAGTTATTGATAGAGAGTGAAACCCCACAGGCTATTGCTTGATGGGCAGAGAGTGGTATTTTTTGGATTAGTATGCAGTGCATGTTAAAAAACATGAGGTGACAGGACTAGCACCAAGAATTTGTAGCTAAAGAAATAAGTATCTTGGCTAATGGGAACGAGAGGCTTCTATGGAGAATTTGCTAATGAGTATCTCCCTTTCTGACTAATTTCTGAAATCATGCTGAGCAAATACTGAATCTTAATTGCAGTTGTAATGGATCAGACGTGAGCTGTGTTACGGCTTGTTTTTCAGTGCTCACCAAAACTTTTTGTACTTTTTGTTGTTGACTGTCTCCCTTGTTACGTGAATTTTCAGCCAGGGAAACATAAAACCTGGAAGACAGTTGATTCTCAAAGGAAAACCTGTGGGGAAAGGGTAGGTGTTGATATTTGGGACTTGTTTTCAAAGCAAAAGGTGCAAATATGTTTCAGTGTCAGGTAAGTTGTGTGGAAGCCTGTAATGGGACTTCCAAGCACCTTTCCTTACTTACAAATAACTGCAAGAGGACTTTGAAACTGAACAATAAGATTTTATTTAAAATTGAATTGAAATAGTCAGCTTCTCAATCTAACAAAAACTTGAAGTGAGATTGAATATAAATAATACTGACTTCATAAATAAACTTCCTCTCTCTGTTGTGTCCTTTCAGAGAGGATCTTTACAGGCTTTCTTGAAGCCTGAGCATTCATCGATTTCTGAGGTTGCAGCAAACTACACAATCCTTGAGGTCCTTTGAAAATGGCTCCTTTTTTGTTAGTATTGAGGCCTGATCAGAAAAGCGATGCTGTTTGTGCTCTCAAGAATGAGCAAACATTCTTTTGTTTCAGAAAATTATGTATACTTGATTGAGTACCTGTAGTTAGGACAAGGCACGTAGCAGCTTTCACTCGGCTGCTTATTTGCAGCCTTTCAAAGGCAAGTAGCATGTTCAGAAGCAAATAATTGAGAGGAAATACAGCATGTCACAGACCTAAATTGAGTCAGAGGAAAGTTCTGTGATTTTCCTGCTCTCTAGTCTCCTCATGCTGAGATATGTTGTGGCCTTGTGAGCTTTTGCAGATCCTAAGCAAGCTGCAGTTTACAGAGCTGAGGAGGTGAGGTTCTGTGATATGGCAGGCAGTTGCCTTATTTCTACATTTTCTGATCGTTTCACCTTTTTTATTAACCAGTATACACACTTCTTAAGTGTAAAACTCCACACTGCAGTATTAGGCAAGCTTAACTGTTCTGGAATCTCCTTTTATGGGCATGTTATTAAAAAATCTAAACTATATCAAATACTTCTTTCTGTTACGAATAAATAGAATACTGCATTAATAGAATACTTCTTTCAAAGAGGTAAAAAATCATGGGAAGATCATGTAATATTTCTTTTTCTTGAGGAAAGAGGAATTTTATATTATTGGAAAAGCTCCAGTGAATAAGGGCTACTTTGCAGTACGTGCCATAACTGAATTATATACTAGGTTGGTTTTAACATGTGCTAATACCCTGAAAATGCTCTCTTTTGAAGAACTGAGAAGCTTACCTAGCACTGGAAGTTAGTTATGAATACCAGTGTTCATTTATGCTTTTGTATGCATGTTTTTTTATACTAGTAGCTCTGTGATATTAAATTTGTCTGCAATGAGGTTTTCAACATCGGACTGGAGGGCAGTGGCAGGGCAGGTACTGATCTCTTCACCTGTGACCAGTGACAGGACTCGCGGTAATGGCATGAAGCTGTGTTGGGGAAAGCTTAGGTTGGGTATCAGAAAAAAGTTCTTCCCCCAGAGGGTGAAGGGAACAGGGTTGCCAGGGAAGTGGTCACAGCATGAAGCCTGTCTGAGTTCAAGAAGCATTTGCTTCTCAGGCACATGGTGTGATTCTTGGGATGAACTGCATAGGTCCAGGAGTTGTACTCAGTGATTCTGATGGGTCCCTTCTAACTCAGCATGTTGTATAATTCTGTGATAATTTTCAAGGGTCTTGTTTAAAATGTGGTCGTCACTTGTTAAATTACCTGATGGTTTCTTTAACTCTTTTTCAGATCTTTGAAAGAATTTTGTTTATCTGGGCAATACGCCATCCAGCCAGTGGATATGTTCAGGGCATAAATGATCTTGTTACTCCTTTTTTTGTGGTCTTCGTTTGTGAATACATAGGTAAGATTTGTCTTAATACCAAATTATGAATTGATATTGGTTTTGAAACATAATTTTCATTTTAATCTGACTGATGGTTTGGATGAGCTAATCAAAGCGTAATTTGATATATGAATTTTATAATAATTTTTAAATTATAAATCTGTATCGTTCTGTTTAAATATATACTGAGAAGCAATCAGATTTTGTTTAAGTAGTCAGTGGAGTTCAGGAATCATCTTGATTTGTACTTTAAAAGTGTTCACCACTCATGGTGCATTTTTCTTCATAGGTTATTCTGTGTTTCTTTCTCTCCTGTTCATGTTTTTTTGTGAAAACTTTAAATTGTACATATGAACCAGACAACAGCGGCAAAACAAAAAAGCAAACCAAGAAATCCAACAATGCTTGCCCAAAAAAACCCCCAGAACAAACCCCATACCAAACCAAGAAAAATAACCCAAGAAACAAGGAAACCTTTTAAATGAGTGGAGGGAAAATTAAAATAAAAGGAACCTATTAAACTGCATCTCTGCCTGAAAAAATCCTGGAATTAGGCTCTGAAATTTAAGACAACAGTAATCAAATTTCCCTGGTTAAAAGCTTACCTCTTCTGGGGCTTGTGACATTAGTAACAATAATAGTGTCAACAGCTCTAGTTGTGTTGTTTGTGGCTTTATGTATGAGTATATTTTTGAAAACTTAACCAGCTCAGATGTGGGTTAAATCTTAAATTTATAGATTAGTATTTAAACTGTTATAAACATTAAGAGAATGACTAATTGTTAATAATTGAATAATAACTTGGGTATAACTATGGATATAAGAGGTAAGATTTAAGAGTAAAAATGACAGTGTTAATCTGGTTTGAATTAAAACCGTTTTCCTCGTACTTCTGTTTGTCATACACACATACAGTGAGAATATAAGCGTTGTGTATGTAAACTTGAGCAGTGCGTTGTCTGCCTACTTCAGTGCATTCTTCCTGCCTTCTCTATGCAAGATACGCATTGGTATCCAGATTAATCCAGATTGATTGGTTTTAATGAAGGACAGATTATCCTTGAGTGGATGATAGACTATCCATTTACTCATTTGCATGGCAACACCTCTGTTGCTTTGTTCATTTTTTGTTTCATACGGGGACGTTTCATTGCTAAGCAACCAGTGAGAACTACTGCTGCTTTCCCCTAATCATCTCTTAAGTATGGTAGAGGCCCACTCCTGAGAGTATTTGCAGTTTCTGCCTTTTACTCCCTCATTTGACAGATAATGAAAATGTTCTTAATGATCCTAGAGCAGTGGGGTCTCTAGTAGACTTTAGGGTTGCTAATTGAAATAAGAAGTTCAAATGAGATGTGATTAGAGAATTGATATTCCACGTTAAATAGGCCATTTAATTAATATGGTAAATAAGTTTGTCTTTACCACCAACTTACATTTGGAGGCCCTGGTGATTGTTAATGTATTTGCAGTTTGTCAGTGTTTTCATATCAGAGAGCATAGCTGTTCCACCAAGTGTTCAGTGAAGAAAGACAAAACTCAAAAACTTTCAACTAGAGAAGATATTCTGCCACTGAAAGTGTATGAAGCTCAGAAAACTGCATTCTGAAAGCACATTTAAAAGCTAATATCTAAGTCATAAGAAAAATAGCAAAATGAAGGTATTTCTTTCAATATAGCAGTGGTCCTGGCTAATTGCTAACAGCAGTTATTTTCCTCCAGGGACATATAAAAACTTTCAAAGATTTGTCCCTAAACAGCCTTTTGATTTGAATCTAATATATTCAAGTTCCACTGAGTGATGCGTTCAAGTTAGAATGAATAAGAGTATGCATTTTATTTAAAGTTGAAATGGGGACTTGAAATTTATGAAGTACCTCAAAAATCCTGAGTTTTGTAATAAAATTATAGGATTCAAAAATCAGACTGTAAATTGTGGTTTAGTAATTTAGATAGAAATAATTGCAGAATTGCAGAAATGTCCTAGCAAAAATGTTTAAACTGCTAGTATATTTAATGTTTACTCTAGTGATACTCTGTATTTACTTGCGTTTTTACTCTAGATCCCATTTCTTGATTTTAAGTGAATAGTGGTTTTTACATTAAAGTGCTTTATTTATTGCTATCTTTTAACTTGATTTTGTATTTTCTTTCTCAATTTAACTGAAACCTTTTTGTTGCAGTTCAAAGTCACTTGGGTCCTAATTTGTACAGTTGAAAGTGATAATGCCTTTTATTTTAGGTTCTTTCTATAATTTTGAAAAAAAAGAGGTCCTAAAGAATTATTAAAGATTAGTAATAAATTCTAATGGTTGACAGTGCCATAAATAATAAATCTGTGCTGATTAGATCATCTGATGATATATCCTTGTAATGTTTAAACACAGCTGCAGTTTTGTCAAATATTTTGGTGGGAGGAAAGCCATGTTTGTTTTGGCTTTATGACAACTGAGAGAGCCCTTAATCCTTAATCTTGCATAACAAATATGTGACATATTTATTCTAGTGATGAGAGGCTTTCTGGTCTGCTAAAGATGTCTAGAAACTTTTTGGAACAGTGTTGTTACAGAACTTTTGAAGATACAAATGACATGGATGGAAGTGATAATTTACTTCTCATTCAAATCTGAATGCCATAAAATAGGTTTTGTGGGTCTGTATATAAGGACTGAAGTCCTTATGGTTTAGTGTGGATTGAGGTGCCTGATTTTAACACATAGGTTCACACATGGATAATAGATTGAGTGACTGAACGTAGGAACTGAATATGTTAAGTGTTGAGGGCATACTTTCAACCTTTCCATCAGTGTAATATGATGGAAGTGTAATCTGGTAATGTCTCATTAGTTCACCACTCTGCAATAAAAGCAGAATGCTGTAACATTTTCAGTAAGATAAAATTTGGTTGTCAAACCAAGCCAGGAAAGGCAAAACGGCAATTAAGCAAAAATTTCAAAGGGGGTAAACAGTGGCCCCTACTGGAATACAGTAATTTCAGTTTTGAATTTCTGGTCTAAATTAGGAGAAGGAGGAATCTAAACCTTGGATTTCTTATACCAGACAATTGTGTATGTTAATCTCAACATTATTTTTTTTAATTTTTCCCCTTATGAAAAATGCTATAGATCTTTTTCCTGCCATATTATAACAGCTTCTTTAGAATTTCAAACACTACAGGTGCGGAAAAACTATTTTGTGCTTATTTCTAACCTCCTGCATGACATAGCAGTGGTGTAACTAACATGTGTTGTCAGAACAAATGCTAATTCCTGTCAGGGAAGTTTTCCTAAAAGCTCTGTGTATTTGCAGTGTATTAGTTTGTGTCAAAATGAATCTCATCCCTGTGGATGCACCAGAGGTGTTTTTGTTAATAAGATGTACAATGTGACTTGTCACTGTTCACAGCCTTAATGAACAAGAAATTTTGCACTGGACTGCAAGTCCTATTTCAAGTTGCCACACGTTGAGCTCTTTGTACACCTTCCTCTTGCCCTGAATTCCTGTTGATCTACATTGTTTCCAGGTATTAGGTTGTGCTGCACAGTTGCTCATGGTTTCTTGCTCACAGAGTTAGCTACACTTTGCTGTAATTGTCATTTCAGTAATTCGCTAGGCCTTGTGTGTATATCTAAAACCCCGGAGAGGACCTGGATTTATTCACTATCCAGAGAGATGAAAGCTCAAGAGAAACTCCACCATAATAAGGATGCATGTCAGGCCATTGCTAAGGGGAATGGCTGTATGAAATAACTTTGAGACCCCCTAGCAGTGTTGGATCAAGAGCAAATTAGGAGTTAGTAGGAAGTCCAGGGCAGAAAATTAACACTATTGTAGCAATTCATCATTTTATGTTGGATAAAGAATGCCAAGAAAAATGAGGCTGCTGAAGACTGGAATGGTCATTGAGATATTGTCTACAATCTCCTTGAAGTAGAGCAGCTTGATGATGTTTACAGGAACTCATGAACTGAAAACTTTGAAAAGAGAGGTCTTACTCTTGTAAGTATTTTTTTATGTGATCTTAAATCCTTTCATAGAAGGCATTAAATGAAACTTCTGTTACCTAGTGTTTTTTAAATTGATACTGCCATGACTTCATGGAATAATTAATCCAGGCCCAAATCCTAGTGGGATTGGGGTGGGATTTGTTCCCAGACCAGTGTTACTATGAGTAAAGAAAGGCTCTTTGGTCTTGAAAAAGCCTTCATCTGTCTATAGCTCCCTTACTTACAGTTCTTATTATTTCCTCTCACATGTTACAGAAAGTCTTCTTGTCCCTATAAACCAGTACGCAGTCTCATTTTTGCCTTCTTTCCTTCTTTTTCAACAGATCTACTGTGAATAATTACATTTAAAATTATTTTTTCCACAGTTTGCTGTATCTAAAATTGTTATTATATAATTGGAGTAAAGTTTAAGAGCATTTTATCATGGCAGTATCTGAGGTAATTCCTCAATGTTTGTTTATAAAATATGAAAAAATTGTCAATTAAGCAGAGATTATTTTTTTCTTGAGGAGAGTTGTAATTTTTGTACAATAAGTAGATCTGTTTAGAATGTACATCAAATTGAATTTCTGAATGATGTAAGCCAGAGAACAAAGAATATTAACCCACTGACTCTAGAGAGCTGCTTTTCTTCATACTTGGAGGGTTATAGGGTAAAATTTTGTTTAGCATGCATTATTTCCTTTCCTTCACAAGACGATGCTGAAGCCTTGATTGCTTCAGTATGTAATTTAATTTGAGATAATTAATCCTGCTGTCTGAACACCTAGACCTTTCCACCAATTCACTAGTCCTTGGAGAATCATGACTAAGACCCATGCATTGAGGTTTTGAGGAGATAAGGTGGAAAAGATGGAACGCATTTGTAGTTATTCAACTTAAAAGAGACTGAATGAAACTGAAGGAACAACAGATTGTTTTTGTGAAGTGGAAGTTGAACAAGGAGCTATAATTGTATTAACTGGATGCTTCTGCTTCTCCCAGGCCTTTCAAGTTTTGCTGTCTTCTGAT